TAACAATAATTATAAAAAAATTAAATGAAAAATAAACAGATTGTTTGGCTGTATGTAAATAGTGTTACGCTGGATACGGTTGAATCTCATTCCTGAGGTTGTCATTTACCTTATTTGTTTACGTGAGAGTTATGCGTAAATAAAAATATGCTGAATAATACACTATAAATTCTACATGAGAAGTTTGATAACGTCAAGTAAATGGAGCATTTGTCACATTCATTCATAAAGGAAGGTAAACATGGTGGGAGTATTTACCTATTTATTTTACTATACTATACTTATTTCAAATTTGGTTTTAATTATGGCTGATTTTTAGTAGAGTATTACGCTATCAGTTATATGTGTTATAAAATTGAAAAGATATATTTTTTTTATTTCTCTACCACCTCTTCCATTTTTGACAGACATCAGTGCGCTTATCAGAAGAAAAGTTTTTATACTCATTCTTATATCACGTAAGGATTTTGTAAATTTTGAATTTTTTTCCAATTTTTTTATTATTATTGTGTTTGTCGCATGTAATATGAAATGTAAATAAAAAATTAATGTATAAATTTTTTAGCTTATATACTGATGTACTGAAAATAACTTGTCAGTAGACATTTTTTAAAATTTGTTTCAAAATACAAATTTATGAAAAATAAAATTTTAGAATAATTATCCACTTTCTAAGTGAATTTATAAAATGAATCATTTGATTGATTCTAGGGGTTAAGTAATTATTAAAAAAGAAATATATTCAGTTAAACTAAATAAGAACAGTAACAGTTTATGGTACCAATTATCTTCTCTCCCAATTCCCACTGTGTGATATTTCTGGTTAGGCAAATATAGGTCTACATTGACTGGTCCTTTTGGTTATTTACGTAAAATTTTCTTTTCTTTTCAGTGAGTCAGAGATAAGTAATTAAATAAAAATTAACAACGAATGTGACAATTAAATGATTATAAATAATGTTCTAACAAATCCTTTATTATCAATACAGACCTATCGTAGTATTTGTGACATTTTTATTATATTTGTACTGATGCTTACAGAATGCATAAAGAATATGACCTGAATATACAAGATGTTCCAAAATCTATGGAACTATGGGCTGAAATATAACCAAATCTATTAGTTCGAAAACTGATACTTAAAATATACATGAGGTTAAAATTGTAAATTTTATTTTGATTTTTCCCGATAGTTATAACATGTGACGATTGATATTGTTCTGAGAATTTTTGAATGACAAATAATAATGTATCCAATATTTTCATTTAGATGCTATGAGACATTATGAAGCAATCAAACGCTAATTTTTTTGCGTCTTTAAGTATTTGTCAATTTCAACCAAAGATTTATATTTTTTCCTTATTTTTTAAATAACATTTATTAATTGTAGGGGTGTTCATAGAAAAATCTTCAATTCTGAATGCAAGCAGTTTTTTCCGCTCATCGGTATAAATGGTGTAATAAACCAAAGAAATTTTTCGAGGACAGGAACCCGGGAAAATGGTCCACATGAAACCATTAAAAAAAACATAAAAATGTATCATTAACAATTAAATTCTGAGCTACTTTAAAATAAGGACTTTCGGAAATATCACTTTCTTCCAATAGACCTTGAAAGTATTGAAAAAACAGAAGTTGTCAAAATTAGTTTTAGGTGCTACTTATCAGCTATGAAATGGAATTTTTTCATATTAAGTTCTCGTTAAAAGGGTACTTACTTGTTTTTCTTTTAATGACACTGTTCATTTTGTCTATGTTAAAAAAGTCGTTTATTCAGACTGTTCATAATTACTGTAATAATAGCAGATCGTTATTTGTCAATATTTATTTAATAACATACTTATGTAGGTATTTGTTGAAACAAAATTAAATGGTGAAAAAAATAAAAAATAACTAAATATATAAAATCAAAAAGTGGAAAACAAAATAAAAGGTAGGTAAATAATAACAATCTTTTTATCGTCATACCAGCGGAACTTGAAAAATATGAAAAAGTTCCTAAAGCACCCAAAATTAATTATGAAGATGTTATACCTAATCTCGGTTATAATTAAAAATGTTTGTTCTTTAAAAAAATATATTCAGATTTCTCGAAAAGTAGTGATTTTTCGAGAAGTTCCTGTCATTGAGAACTGAAGTTATTTAAGAACAGTAACAATGGGAAAAGATACTACACGTGAATTGGTAACTATTGGCGCAAACACGCCTTATCCGAAAGTTGATAGTTTCGGAAATACAGGGTGTTGAAAGTTAAAATTTTAAATAGTTTTTTTGCGATTATTCTGAAAATATGTAGGTTAGGAACTTGAAAATTTGTAAACCTATATTTTTTTAAGCGACAAATAAGATGCGTATTGCAATTTCATCGTTGCTCACAGAGGGCGCCACATACGACCAATTTTACCGAAAATTTAGTTAATAACTTTTCACCCTGTATGTCTAACATAAAACTTGATTCAAAACCTGAAAGAGCAATCATTTTTCCATTAATTATGTACTCTTGTTTCATTTTGGGATCTCGATCCGTTTTCGAGAAAAATCGATTTAACGAACACTATCTCTTGATAATAAGAGAAATTGAAAGCGAAACAAACTAAGTGTTTCATCATGTTACTACAACAATTAACAATAAAACAAATGAAATACGTAATAATGATATAAAGTAATTGTTCGAAGAATCCCCTGTTGACACTGATACAATTTACACAATGTTTTCTGAAAGATCTTCGAGTTTGAAACAACATATTGGGATTGAGTCTGACTTCGTTGGTAGCGATTTGTATTCTTGGCCACAAGTCTTCATACGAACCAATAGATTCTTTGTAAACGATATCTTTCATTCGAGGCCAAAAAGAAACATCAAGATGATTGAAGTCCGGACTTCTGGGTGGCCAAGCAAAAATGCTTACATGGCCAATCCAGCGATTTGGAAAAACTGCATATAAATATACACGCACTGGCTAAGAAAAATGCGGTGGAGCTCCGTCGTGCATGAACCACATGCCTAAATAAAGTAGAACTTCTTCAAGCCGTGGAAGCATTTTTGCTTGGCCACCCAGAAGTTAGGACTTCAATCTCCTTAATTTTTCTATTTGGTCTCGAATGAAAGATATAGTTTACAAAGAATCTATTGGTTCGCGTGAAGAGTTATGGCAAAGAATACAAATTGCTACCAACGAAGTCAGACTCAATCCCAATATTTTGTTTCAAACTCGAAGATCTCTCAGAAAACGTTTAGTAAAGTGTCAACAGTGGATTCTTCGAACAATTAGGTACTTTAAATCATTATTACGTATTTCATTTATTTTATTGTTAATTGTTGTAATAACATAAACAAACACTTTTGTTTCACTTTTAATTGATCGTATTATCAAGACATAGTGTTCGTTAAATCGGTTTTTCTCGAAATCGGATAGAGATACCGAAATCAAACAAGAGTATATAATTAATGGAAAAATTATTGCTCTTTCAGGTTTTGAATCAAGTTTCATGTTAGACATACAGGGTAAAAAGTTATTAACTAAATTATCGGTAAAATTGGTCGTAAGTGGCGCCCTCTATGAGCAACGCTGAAATTGCAACACGCATCTTATTCGTCGCTTAAGAAATACAATTTCACAAATTTTCAAGTTCCTAACCTACATATTTTCAGAATAATCACAAAAAAACGATTTAAAATTTAAACTTTCAAGACCCTGTATTTCCGAAACTATCAACTTTCGGATAAGCCATGTTTGTGCCAATGGTCACCATTTCACGTGTAGTATCTTCAGCTTTCGATTTTCCCATTGTTAATGAATCACCCTGTATATCTAGACTAATGAATCACCCTGTATATCTAGACGTGTAGTATCTTCAGCTTTCGATTTTCCCATTGTTAATGAATCACCCTGTATATCTAGACAACCTTTTGATTTTCCAGATATCGGCTTCAGCAATTTTCAACGGAACCAGGTATATGTAGGTCTGTTATTTTTTTTATATAATAGAGTATACAAACAGGAGTATACTCAAATAAAAAAAATCGAAAGAAACATTCGACGTGAAATAATTTTGGGACTAAACAGTTTTTTTTTGTCAATGTCAAAAGTTCTAAAACTATTATTATTTTTGTTTTTCTCCTTGTAATATTTGTTTAAAGAGAAATTAAAAGTTCATGAATTTAGGTAGAAAAATTTGACCCATTTTCATATTTTATAGAAAATACTTTTATATTTATTATACAATAAAATAATAATTAAACAATAAGTTATATTAGGTAATCAATTTTTGATTTAGGAACACATAAGTGACATTAATATGTATTTTATTATCCCAACATTGCGTTTCCTAATTTTAAGGATGTATAAAATGGTAGGTACTTAATTTAATTAATTGAATAATAAATTATTTTTTTACTAAATTTAATGTTATGTACACATTATAGAAATCGTTGAAATCAGTGGATGGCAATTAATATAAATACATTAATTGGTTAGGTACTACTAAAAATATGGAAACTGTATGTATCTGTATATTACAGAACAATATATTTTAATGCATTTTTCTCAAGACAGTCTTATTCAGGTTTAGTTATGCCTAAATAAAATGCTATGTAAAAAATGCAAATAAAGTTACTCAACCGTAATCGTCTTCGCAGTCAGAATTTTTTTTAAATGTCTTACTCAGATAATTAATGTAAAGAAACTGTAAAATTATAGCCGATATTTTCGTTAAGTTTATTGATGAGACCTCTACCAGAAGCTACTGCAAAAACGGTTAAAGCGCTATCTCATACCAACGGAAATCAGCCTATCGTCATTACAACCGAATAAATTAAGTCCGCCATAAAATAAAAAAAGCCAGACAATAATAGTCTAAATTACCCCGTGCAATTATAAACCCATAAAGAAATGGTATCCGCCTGGGCCGGTCAGGCGTTTGTCGTGAAAAAAAGCAACCGCAGCATGCTCGGTGTCTGGCGAAGATAAGCAATAAAGTTCAGAGAAATGCAACTTACCGAAAACAACACAATAAATCGCAGCAGCCGGCGGTGTGTGTCACTCGGGTCACTAGGAATTATGCACGACCGGACGCAGCGTTACATCACCGGTGTCAGTCTGGAGGTTAGGCGAGGCGAAGAAGAGTCTTAGGTGTTGCTTTTGGAGAGCACACGTCGCCGACGTCGGCAGGATTATTACGCGCAGCGGACGGCCATGTGGGGCATGGTTGTGTGGAGACCGAGCTTGTAAGAGGCTACCATTCGACTGAGGTACGTCCGCGGCCTTTGCAACTGTGGTCCAAAAAAACTTCTGGCGGGGAATGCATATGTGAAGCAGCAGCGCTGGCTCGGTCCGACAGGTGAGTGCACCTGCACGTCGGCGGTGCACCGCGCTGCCGAGCGTCTTATCGCGTCGGCCTCATCGTATTGCACTTCTGCTACTTGCTGCACTCTGCACTCCACTTCTGGTCTCACCCGGGCACTGGGGTGCAATAACGACTTTCCAGACAACCGTCAAGGCTGCCCTGTGCAAAAAACAATAACGTTTTCCTTATTCAAATGTGCAATTCTCCTCTTCAAATTGTTTTGTCAAAACTTCGTTAAAAAAGCATCACATCAAAGACAAATGTGTTATACAGGGTATGTACAACTTATCCAGAAAATTTTAATGCGCATTTAAATCAGAAAATGGTTTCTTAAAAAGAATATAACAAAAGTCCAACAGAAAGCGAAATAAGGATTGTTAACATTATGCGCCGCTCTAACCCCATAGGGATTGCGGCTCCATCGTACGACGTCTTGTTGAGCGCAACATATCATTGTGCAGTTGAATTGAGCGGTATAGCTTTTCTGCGGCACAACCGCATTTTGTGTTACCGGGATTGCGGTTCTGTTACAGGCCACTTTTCTAACCGCAATATGTCGCGGTTGAGCCGCATTAGGAAGCTGCAGAAAAAATTAATACGTCATTTGTTACATTGACTTCAAAGTTTTCTAACAGCATTTTCTCATATCTCATGCACAAAGAACGTACAATAACAAATATTTCTGGTATCGAAGAACGTTTGTGTGACCTTTTAAATTTTTGAATTTGATTCAATTAGCCTAACACCTTAAAAATAGATTTAGAAATGCGATAGCTAATAATGAAGTAGGTAGGTATATGTTTTTAAAAAGAAAAAAAATTGCAAATATTTTTTTAGACAGAATAACAATTGTAGGAATGGATCTAGTCATGTCCAAAACTTTTGACGCTGTCGTTACAGAATCTCGTGTTTTCTAAAACTTTATCTATAAATTTATTTTTCTGTAAATTAATTTTGGCAATAGTGATAATAGTCGAATTGGGCGGCATGGCCTTTCTGCGGCACAACCGCAGAGTGTGTTAGGAGTGCGGTTCAGCCGCACGCCGCTTTTCTAACCGCGGTTGAACCGCATTCGACAGCTGTAGAAAAATTGAATACGTAATTTGTTACCTTGGTTTCATATTTGTGTAGAATTTGTGAACTGTTATTCACTAGCGAACGTGCATATACAGTGCTATTTTTTTAAACCTGACACAAGCCAACTTTTTTATTTAAAGTGATAGACTAGTACTTGCAAATGCAAAGTTGTAGGAAATAACTCGACTAAGAAAAATTTACAAATAATACTTTTAATAACAGATTTCAGCAATAGCTACTAAAACGATATTTTTTTAAATGACAACACCGTATTTTTTTAACATAATTTGACAAACTTTCAAATTGAAAAGAAAAAAGCTAATATAGCAATAGTAGGCCTTGGATATTAAACAAAAATTTTGTTGTTTAAAAGGAGCCATCATTATTGTGCTGTCATTGTGTTATTTGAAAGCTGTTGTATTTGAATTTGTATAAAAATAACGTTTTAATTGAGGTCTTGGGCACACACTACCAGTTAATTTTAGTTTTATTTATTTTTTAAAAAATCCAGATTTGGATAAGGCTTATGTCTTGCGTAGAATTCAGCACACGCATTGCGTAAACTTTAGCCACCAACATGTAGGAAAATTAATTCAACTTTCTCTTGTAGATTAAATAAGTGATTCATCTTAGCAACTGAATTAAAACGTTATTTTTTATACACATTCAAATACAACAGCTGTCAAATAACACAATGACAGTATAATAATGATAGCTCCTTTAAAACAACACATTTTTTTGTTTAATTTCCAAGACCTACTATTGCTATGTTAGCTTCATTTAGTTCTTGTCGACTACAAATTATTTTCGTCGTTTTTGCTGATTGTTCTAAAACGGCTGCTCCAATAAAATCTGTGACATAAGATTTTCTATTTAGAATTTCAAGATTTGTCAAATTAATTTCCTCCATAAAAAAATTTTTTTTTAATCAAAGCGTCACTGCTACTAAAGGCCATGCTACTTGTGAAAATGAAGAAATGAAGTCATTTCTATACGCTACGCAACATTCTTTACAACCTAAATATTTCTTTCGGATTCCGAGATATCAAGCTGAGTATTAACCGCAACATCCTATAGAAACCAAAACATATTTTTTATTATTATAAATTAATTAGGTTAAATAATTCATCAGATACATCTATGGTGCACTTGGGATATCCGATTTAAAAGATAGCGTACGCCACTGCCAAAAATCCATCTGTAACAAAATCCATCTATGTAGAAATTAAAAAAATATCAAATAAAAACGACGTTCTAGATTACAAAAAACTACTTGAAATATGATGCGATAGAAACGCAATTCAGAATAAAACATGCGGTTAAACCGTATGTGTTACTAGGCTTAAAAGTTACAGTAATTGAGAATTATGAGGTAGAAGTATTGCTGCCTAGATTGTCCTCTATCCTTTAAGAGTAATACTTTGTATGTTTATCTACAGCAGAGAATGAGATAACCAATCTTCATAATAAGCACATTTGGGCCCTTGAGAATCCTTACGCGACATTTTGGGATAACTTCCAGTATCTCTTCTCTGTAAATATGCAGGAATTGTCGATGAACGCCTAATTGGCCCGTCCAACGCGTTTAGCGAATATCAACCAACAGGTGGATACCTAGATCAATCTAATTTTTGAGTAGCTCATTTGATAACTCAAACCGCAGCTCCCATTATTTTGTTACTATATTTTAGGATATAATTTTGCCTAACATAATCGTATTGATTTAATATTAATATTATGAATTTTATTACACTAAACACAAAGTTATTTATAAGGATAATTCAAAATTCAGCACAAAGAATTTAGGTGCTTATCTTTTTTTTCCTATAAACGTGAGTTCCAAATAATTTTTCTAATTTTTCACCGTAAATAGTTACAAAATTTGAAAATATGGTATGCATTTAACTCTTCATCAGCCAGTATCTCTGAAGCGGTTGGTCTGAAAGATTTCGATCAAGTATACCTTTTTTGCTTAAAATTGATAGGGGAATAAACGCACTAATACGAAACGTCAATGTATAGCGTAGCAAAAAGTTAGGGGCAATTTAATTCAAGCGTACCCTTTTAGGTGGCGCCTTCTAAAAGCAGCGTCAAAAGCAATGACATATTTAAATTTACCATCCTAAAAGCCCCCGTACCCCAAGTTTTATGCGTATATTCAAATCTATTTGGAAATTATTTCTAAAAAATCGAAAAAAAATAAAAAAAAATTGACACCCTCTATATCGAAAACTAAGTATTTGTGGACACACGTTTGTAGGAAACAAATTCTTATTTTAACCTCAAAAATACGCCATTGTACTGAATTTTGAATCACCCCGTATAATTACGCACAAGACTAAATCGTCACTCGATACTCTCGGGTAGGCCAGGATTTTCGATAGGGTCACATCAATACAATGTCAAATTAATGTCACATTCACTTCAGTGATAAGGATAATTGAGTCTGTTGTAGAATATATTATATTACAGTAATTGTATAAATATTTGTAGTAAACACCTACAATCATATTTCATTCAAATATTCATTTTCATATCAATTATAAATTTTGCATTCCTTGAATGGTACCGATACAATTACAGAGTTAATATTAATTTAAACAAATAGGACTCGTCGTTCTAATTTCAATAGCATTTTTCTTCCTGTTTTAGTAATGTAGTATAACAACCCTAGGTTCGACAAAAAATAAGTAAACGTAGTTGTGGCCAAAAACATGTGATCGTCATAAGAACTACCTACGTTGTGTGTATCTATTTTTAATTGACCGGAAGGCGATAGCTACTAACTTTGTAGAGGGGATGGATGGTTTAATTATATAAAACAAAAGCAGAGTAAATACACCTAACCTTTATTTACATACAATTCAAATTAAACATGTGACAAATAGAAAGAACAACAAAAACATTAACAACCATTTAACATAAAAGGAGAGTGCCAGGCTCACCTAGAGCTCCTGCGGGGAAAGAGCATGGCAGAGAAACCCACGATCGTTGCTCTTACCACCCAAATATAAATACAAAACAACCGCTAACCAAAGGTATAAATTAAGAACCTTTGCTAATGATAAATAAGACCTGTCTCATTTAATGTGTCACTAAATGTCATCTGTTACCTCATATTAGTCATACACACTTCCAAGTAAAACTGAAGAGGTTTGGTGTTAGTTAGCCGGCAGAGCCGGAAGGTACTGGAGTCCCATACGGGAGGCAATCCAGCTATAGTTGAGATTTCGGAAGATCCTTCATAACACTGGAGTCCCATACGGGAGGCAATCGAGCTTAATCCAGATTCGTTCCGCACGGGCGAAAATGTTAGTAAATTCAACAAGGCTCGTATAGACGTATGACATAAAGTGAGCACAAGAAATCAAAGAACAACCTAATCATGATAAAACAAGTTAAATGTGAAACAAAGAAGTCGTTAATGCAATATCTGGGCAGTCACGACAATATACATATTTTAACATGTAATAAATAATGAGCAATCTTTAATAATAATTGTAACAATTTTATATTAGAAAAATATACGCCCCTGAGCGTAAGACAATGAAGGCTAAACATATACAGAATTATTATCATGAAACATCTATATTTTACGAACAACGTAATCATGACAAAAACAAGTTAGATGTGAAACAAAGGAGTCATTATTGTAATGTCTGGGCGCCCACACAATATATATATTTTAACATGAAATAAATAATGAGCAATCGTTAATAATAATTATAACAATTTTACCTTAGAAAAATATATGCCCTTGAGCATAAAGCAATGGAAGCTAAACATACAAAGAATTATTATCATGAAACATCTATGTTTTTCGGACAACGTAATCAGGACAAAAACAAGTTAGATGTGAA